TACTTTTTGTGACCTGTTTTCCAACAAAGTTGAAAAATTATGAACTTAATTTGTAAGTCCACACAATTTTTTCCATGAGCAGGATCAAAGTGAGCAATCCAGAGCAGGCAAGAAGGGCCAATCTTACTGCTCGGGTAGACAATTGGAATACATGAGTTGTTTTATATTACTCACAGGTGCTGACAGTGATATGATAAAACCACATAAGAGCTTATTGAGTTTATCAATTCATTTAATGGTTAACAATCTGTATCAGTGAAAGGCGAGAACTAACCAGTCTTTGGTGGGAGATGATCCTCCTAGGCCCTCCACACTGTCTGAACTAGCATTTGGTATATCTGGTACTTTATTCAAATTTTGTCAAAGTAAAAACATTAGTTGCCATGAAAACTGGCCTAAAATGAAAATAAATTAAAATCCAGCTTGACCATAAGATTTAACTGAATTGTGAAATTGTGAATTGTGAAGTTTGTCTACGTCCACCTCCATGGGGCAGCCAGGGGGGAGAAAATTTGCCTGTCTAGCATGGAAACCTACTTGTCCTGGTGGTCCAAAGGCTTTATTCTCCCCTTTTTTTGCTCTCTCTAAAGCTATTGTTAAAGATGATGACCTTACTTGCCATATAAACATGTATTAAACAAAAAGAGAGTAATTTCAGAGTGCAGAAAAAAGCTAATTTAAAACTGTACAAAGTTATGTACAGATCTAGGGTTGCCTGTTATGGATTTGCAGTGTTCTTTTTCAAGTACTATGGTATAATCTACAGTAGTAAGTTGTGATATAGCACTAACATTGCCCCCTAAAAATGTTTAGAGTTGAAAATCAAGCAGATGCTGTGCTATTGTAAATTTTAATTTTCAGAAAACTATACTATAACTACTCCCCTTGAGCTGAAAAGTAGAGAGAACACTAGATTCAGTGTAGGTTAGATTTAAAAATTGCCAGTATCAACACGAAGTAGGAACAACAGATAAAAATAACCCCACACTAGCACCTACCAAGATCAAATCTTTTAGGGCTGCCAAAAGATCTTGCCTCTGGTGAATCCTTAGACATGAAAAAAAAAAAACTTAATTTGCCACCTAATTAATAAGGGGTGACTTCATCTTCAGTGTCCTGTTTGCTTACATTGAAAGTTGTATCTCTGAGCCCGTAGAACCCAACAAAGCTGTATAATTATAAGCCATTTGAGTTTTCCATCAAGCATCTACTCTGTTAGCAGTAAGTGGCCAAATAAAACAGAATACAGTCACCAAATGCGATGCAAATCTTGCAAAAGGTTGAATATACATTCCTATGTATTTTTCTATGTAGGATGAATGTTCTGAACTTTGAACAGGAAACCAAATCAAAAGCTATAAGTAAATTATTAACTATAGTCTAAGCTTTTTGACTTAGAGTGGAACAAGAAAAACTGACTTCAGAGACAGCCAGTTAAGACACAGATATGGATGAAATGGTCATGGCTCTAACAACAATAAAGTAACCTGCACTCAAGGCAAAATAATTTGAAGTTAAGTTAACCTTCAAATCTTAAAAAAAAACTACAAAATCTTGATGTAAAGTTTTGTTGTGACTTACCACACAGTTTACAGCAACAGGAGAGGGGCATTCATCATCAGTATTAACATAGCTGAGAAATATCATGGAAAGTAAAAATTCAATACTTCAAAACCTTAACATGCTGTAATTTATAATTATGTATTCCAAACAAAATGAAATGATCCCAAACTAATTTGATTTGTATTTCCATTCTTGTGTAAGGACTTAATATATGACATGCCTTGAAAAAGGAAATTACAGTAAATTTGACTTGTTTAAAATCATTCTGACCTGAAATCAATAATATTGTGACAGAAAATTCTGCAGTAAGATATCAAGATTAAAGGGTTGAATATCTCAAAAAGTTTTTATACATCTTTATGAAAACACCTTCTTGGGGTTTGTGTAAATTATGAAAGTTAAAAGGATTCATCTAATGGATTTTGTTTGTAATTTTTTTTTCCAAAGTTACAAAATTTTACAGCCTTTTGCACCCATACATATTTGTAGCGGTTGTCGACCTTATCAGCATTATGAGCATGACATAACAATCCAGGTGTAAATTCCCATTTAATGGAATCTGAAACTTGCACTGCCAATGTATATGTCTGATACAGTGTAAATAGATTCATTAGAGGTAATGAGTGCCTAGTATATTTGAGCTGCATCACTTTTAATTGTCTCCTGTCTAGATTACAGTATCATGTGCATCAAGTATATCTAAAAAAATCAAAGAATTTTTCAAACCTTTGTCTTCTAATCTCAGAAATCCACTCTTTGATACCTTCTTGGAAAGAAGTCAAACCAATTTCCAAATCTCTTCCATCTGGATCCAAAATTAGCGACAAATCATCCAGACTACCTGCAAACTATTAAAATAAATGAAAAATTCTCATTAAACAACAGTACCTCCTTGAAAAACCATCAGAGCATGTATAGAGAAATATTGATCAAGATATTATTTGTCAATAATGAAGCACAAATTAAAAAAAAAGAGACCACCTCATCATTTATATTACTTTTGTGTTCACAACATTTACAGCTTTTGTCGTGTGCATTCAGTTTGATTTGAGCTGTCTAGGATGCAACTAGGCAGAACGGTTGAACAGTCAATGAAGCATTTAACAATGTTGTGATCACGTAGATTAAGAGAACAATTAATTCAAAGAAATTGTTTTTAAAATATTCATAAACATAGTTGTAGCTTAGAGATGCCACCAAAACTTTGCCCTTTTTGGAAAATACATTCAGTAGTTAGATAATGACATTAAAGATTTTACTAAGAAAAACAAAGATGCCTGGCACCACAGTTTAGTTGCCCTTGGAAACTTAAATCTTGGAAAGAAGACTGCACTAGTCATCCTTGTGTATTCTTTCTTTGAAAATAACAATATTGCCTTCAGCATCTGTTGCATGCATGGAGCCATCAAAAAGTTACAAGAACAGCTGAAATTCTTTCTCCTTTACTAGCTACTACTCCAGAGTATATATATACATCTTCAAATATCATTTCAATAATAATTTAAATCAGATGGGAGCTTGCATTTTCTTCCATCTGCAGCACGAACCCTTGAAAAGCAATGCTTAGTTTTAAACGCCACATTACGATTAATAATACATTAGTGTTGCCATACAACTAAAGGACAATTCAAGAACACAAAAAGGTTTCCTACCAAAGATTTAAGGCATTGTGTCATGAGAAATGACAGCTGTATAAGATTCTAATGTTATAACAATTTACGTTCTCGAAAAAAATTAGGACTTGTAAAAACAACTTATCAACACAAAGTGTAATGATATTAGTAATTAGTCATCGGTAGCAGTTTCCTACATAAACAGATCCTCCACTTTTGAACATTTCGCTGACTTCTTTCCAGTTGAAATGTAAATAAATGCAACCTCGTACATATTTAGAAATTGAACACAGTAATTATTGATTTTGGATACAATAAGAACATATGTTTTAAAAACAGTGGCAAAATATTATTTTGCAGTTTCGAGAAGATTGTATTTTTCAGTTGGTTGCACAATAATCTAATCTGCTTATCGCATGATTATTAAGCGACAGAAATATGCTAAATTAAATTTACTAAAGGTAAACAAACGGACGGTTAAATATAAGACGTACCTCCAAACTGGAACAACCTTTGAATTTTTAGGAAAACGTTTATCAAAACAAACACAATCAAGCTGTTCGTGTTCAGCTAGGTTTAAAAAAAGACTTTTATAGAACAATTCAAACGCTGCCACCGAGGAATTTGCAACTCTTAAATGAAACTAAGATGGTAAAAATCAACGCAATTTGAAAAGCGGAACACATTTTACGTGTAGGTGTAATAAGGAATCATGAGCATCGGGGTGTTTTTCAACTTTTGACTGAAATTTTCAAAACGTTGGACTCATCATCAGTATATAAATGACCGTTATTTGCGATAAAAGATAACGAAAATATTATCACAAAACGCTAAATACCTCTTCAGTGCCGCTGGAAATTGCGTTACGGAGATATTCGATAAGTTTCGATACGGAAACTCGACCCGAATTATCCTTGTCACAGTCGTAGAAAAGATTATCGAGAACAGCATCGGCATCGTCGGAAATCTTAGACGGGTCATCGTCCCTTTCTGGCCCCTGGAAATAGGAAACCGTAAAAAATAAACGGATTATTGCAACCAAGGGATACCGGCTGACCAAAGAGAAGCAAATACAACTGCGAAACAACCTACGGCGAGATTAGCGAGGTGGAAAAAAATCAAGCTAAATTGCGGTCTTTTTTTTACCGTAACCCATGCAATATCTTACCGCTGAGTCCATCATGAATTGGTAAGCATTTGACAGATATTATTGGTTATATCACTGCTGTTGTTTATCTGTTCTTCGGTTATAAATAAAATTGACTTTAAGCGATCTCTTCAATGCATGCAGTTACACTGCATTTGTGCCCAATCGCTGTCACGGTCAAGCCTTTCAATTCTAGTTTCTTGGTTCGAAGTATTTCTTGTTTTTGGTTTAAAAGGATATCTGTTAAACATTTCGAGAACCTTGACATTTTGGACCAAAAATATCACACTACTAATAACTCGTCCCCATAGGCAAACGAACAAAGACGAAAATTAAACAAATCTAAAGGAAAGCGCGCCATTTGTTGACTCGTCCCAAATTTGGCATTCCATTGTCTACATCACCAAATATGGTAACTATCTTGAGCGTAAAAAGCGCGCGAATAGATGCTTATCTTTCCAGCGCTCACTCATTCAAACTTCATTTAAGCTGAGGTTCGTCCGCCTCTCGAGCGCGATTAGGAGCTGGAGGCTGTGGATCATCTGTGGATCGCCTCGATCACATAGATGACGTCGTGCTCAAGAAAAAAAATTTCAGCACTCTCCAATAACACTAACATCTCATAAGTACAAATGACTTCAATGTGTTGCTGATTTTAAACCAACATGCAAGTGGCGTCTTCTTGAAAGTATTCTTTAATTAGCTAAATATGTAAACTGGTATTACAAAGAATTATTTTATTTTCTGGAGTAACTTGTGTTGGTTGGTAACTAACATGACAAAATTTAAAAAAAAAAAGAAAACTCATCACAGCTTTAGTTTTCTTGGAACAAGCTTTCTTGGAACAGGGTGATGTATATTGAACATCATGGACTCTGCATTCTTCGTAAACAGTGTAAGAGGCTATGGATCTATCCTCTGCTCCTAGGATGGGCAAGACAGGTTCATCATGAAACCTAAAACAATTCTAACCTGAAACAATGTTAGTGAGGCACGTCATACCAGGTAAACAAGACATTGCTTTTGAAAAATTTTGGCTTCTGTTCTGGAAATTAGGACTCTATTAGGTTTTTCCTTATACTGGTTTGCAACGTTTTTTTTGCATTATTTTCATCTCTATTTTCATCATCTGCATTGGAACAAACCATTTTGAAAGTTTCTTTTTTGTTTTAAATTAATTATCTCCTCCTGTTCTGAGAAAGTGCTTAACTTAAATGGCATCAGGTTAGTTGAAACAAATCATTTACAAAAAAAATTAAGCTTTGGGTGCTTGTAAGGAAGTTAGTCTGCAACACACTCTCCAACTTATCTTTAATCTTGTCTGTTTCCAAGAGGTATTTAGTCCAGTTAAATGTACACCAGTCAGCTTTCACACCTTGGGAGTACGTGTCACACCTGTTTATAAGAAGAAGATATCACACATACTCATGTCTGTCGCCCAATTTCTCCTACCTGATAAAAATTATTGTACTACTACCCTCTTGAGTAACACCTCATGTTTGTTTTCTTTTTTGAATTATTCCTGGAGATGGAAAGTGAAATAAGCATGTGACAATCCTCAAAAACACTCGGCTTTGTTGATAATCCTCATTTCCCTGAAATCTCTAAGAGTGTAAGAGACAAGATTGTACTGGAAACTCTTCAAGAGTGTCTTTTGATTCTTTCATGGAGTTTTCAGAAACCTCAAGTCATCCCAAAAGATGATCTAGTCATACAAAAAAAATGTTCACATCTTTGATTCAAAAATCGTTTGGCAGGTATAGAAATATGCTCAGAAAATCATTACTTTTCAAGAATTAAGGGCACTCAGATTCTCAAGCTGACATCAAAGAATCTGTTTAGGGGCAACAAACAAAAAAGCAAAAAGAAATTTATGTAATAAATTAATAAATGAGACTTGAACACAAGAAACTTCATGGGCCTCAAACGAAATTTTATATTCATGTAATGGATATAAAAACCATCACAATTCTGTTGATAATAGTCCTCACTCCATTTTGAGTAACCTTGCAGCAAGTACATTTCAGCAAAATAGGATTTGGAGGGAAATAACAAGCTTAAGGGACTATCAGATTCCATAAATGTGAAAAACAAAAAAACGTCTCAAGAGCAGTACACTCCCAAACATGTCAAAACAACTTTTCCTGTAATATGACATTAACTACAATTGAATCAAATCAGAACTCAATTGAAATGGTTTAATGCCTGCATTGGTATTCTTCATAAGAGCTTTAGACCAAATTAATGCCAGATCTGGCTTTTCCTTGGAGGTCAGTTCCCATGCCAAGGTAAAATTTTCCTTACTAACAAAATTCTGGGTCACTGCTATGCTAGTTTTTAAATTAAGCACAACATGCCACCATCCAGCAGGGACATAAATAACATCACCAGGATACTGAAATGTAACCAATGGTTTGTATTCCTGGGGCCAGGAGTTACACTGTGTTTTGGGGTAGATATTTATGAACCAATCACTAGCCTCTTCCCAGCATGAATCATTTTGATTCCATTTAAGCATTTCAGCTGGTGTTTCTGGTGGAAAAAGAAGCCAAAGTTTTTCTCCAAACAACAGTCTGTTCCACGCACTCGTCCCAAGGGGGTCAACATGAACTGCCGTTCCAGAATACTTCGGACCAATCAACAACCACTTCCACGGCGGGCGTTCTTCTTTCCTCAGGCACGCCAAATAATCCTGTTTGAAAAACCTGGGTGTCTGAAACAACTTTTTGACTACAGTTTGTTTCCTTGCTGCACCTTTCCAGTGGGGTATCCAAGCATCAAAAATGTATAACGGAAATCGGTCTTTGCATCGTCTCGTGTAGATCAAAAAATCTTTCAATTTGATCTCGATTGAATAACCATCGCTATCTTCCCCACACTCAAAGTATCTATCTTTAAATAGCTTGAAGAAGCTGCACAGTCGCACCAAAGTAAGATTATCATGACGTTCACTTACCACCACTGGAATTTTAGCTTTTTCGAAGCGATCCCGAAATTCTTTCAAAGAAACGTCGTTCGTGAAGGTGTTCTCCACATTGAACTTGTTAGAGCTTGAAATAACTCGTAATCCCTCCACCACAAAGGCTACTTCTTTCCTGTGTTGAGTAACTTCATAGCATTCTTTATTTTTTAAGTGAGGGCGCACTTTCACTTTAACATGGTCGAAATTTCGGAGCAAGCGATGGAGTTTACGATACCGTCTCATGTTGGATATGCTCCTCCGCCATTACTGTGCAAGTATGCGAGGAGAGACTGGTAGCAATAGCAGACTTTCCCAGGCTTTCCCGGTTGTTCCCGATCCAAAGCCGTCAAGGGAACCCTTTCCACTAAGCCGTCGCCATTCATCCATAAGCCGTAACCACTGAAAAGGTTTACCTGGCCGTCACTATTCATACAAAACCGTTCACGGACATCCATAAGGTAGGTGACGAATTCGCCCCTACCACCTTTGCAAGTTCGCCACCTAAAGAAAAACGAGTTGGCAAAGGGGAGGGCTAACTTGCAATGAAGCGAATTTACCATAAACCCTTACTTTGCAGGTGCTCTGTGTTTGCCGAACAAAACCCGAAAGAGTATAAAATCAACCACATGATTTTAATAAAAAATTTCACCACGGTGGTGGACTTATTAGCCTCTATTTCCTCAGAGAAGCTGATTGGTTTGTTTTTTTACGTATTGAACATAATCTAAAATTCAACCGAATGAGTTTTCATTCCCTGATAGTACTCTTGAACACTTAATATCCGGCAATTTTAATATTGGCATAATCTTTTGAGATCAATGTGTGTTTGCTAATTGGAAGTTTGCTGAATCGAGGCCAGGGCGACTTTACTTGATCGCTAGAAAAGTGAAATTCGCTTAACTACAAAAAATTGGTGTCTAATTATCGTCGTAAGTTGTCATGGATGTCTCTCTTGCTCAAATTATCTATGGACCACTAAATTGGGCGCGTACTTAAAAATAACTTTGAATAAACAAAAAGCAATTCCTTGATTGTTTTAACTGTAATTGGGTGCCCCTTTAAGAGATGCGTTTTCCCCTATCTCGACACAAACTGAGGCGGAATCAAATTGATTGAATTACCTTCGTGTTAGGATTAAAACTGTTCCGTAGGGAAAAAAATAATGGCGTCAATATTCAACCATACTGACTTCTGGCACTTAAGCAACAACGCTGCTGCAAACATACTTCTCGATAATCAGCGGAATCTAGTGGTTCTTTTGGCCTGGATACAAGGTATCATTTTATGCGCAATATCGCCTCTGATTACCTTCGGGAATGCGTTTGTGGTTTTTGCAGTATGGAGAGATCCACTGAAAAACTTGCGCTCATCACCTTCGAATTTCATTCTACAATCGATGGCAGTGGCCGATTTACTTGTTGGCATGGTCTTGTCTCCGCTCTACGCATACTTGCTTTTGAAAATAGCCGTTGATAAAAGAATCGCGCTTCCATTACACGTTACATATTCTCTTGGCACTACCCTAGTCGGAGCATCGCTCGCACATCTTATGCTTTTGTCTGTAGACAGATTTTGCGCAGTTGTAACGCCTCTGAGATACAAAGCCATCATTACCTATCGGCGCGTTCACCAGGCACTGATTTTAGTTTGGTGTTACTTCATCTGCTTTGGAATCGCAGCCTTCTTTTTTGAAAACAAAGTCTTCATAGTTAGCCTTGTATTTGGGATTCACACGGTCTTTCTTCTGGATCTCACTTTTGATCTTTATATTTTTATTCTGTATCGACTTCGTAAATACTACAAACTGTGGAAACGGAGAATCATGGGCAACAGCGTACGAGTCAGTTGTAGCAATTTCACCGATAAAGAAATGCATCTTGCGAAAAGATTGGCGATTGTAATCGCTGCATCGCTCTTCCTTATAACTCCATATTTTGTGTTTAAAAGCTTGGTGTATTTCTGCATTCCTTGTTACTCTCGTCCAAAAGTGCTACTCGCGGCGACTGTACTAGAGGTGACATTTACTTACTTGAACTCTGCTATGAATCCGTTTATGTTCTGTTGGCGACTTCAGAAGTACAGACAAGTGTGGAAATATTTTGTTAAAAGGATTTTTCAGGGTTGCACTAGGATCAAGAAAAGATTCAGGCGGAGACAAAGCTTCGATACAAAACTGTAGCAAGGTGAAATAAGCAATCACTGACAAAAAGCTGGGCACTGTAATCCACTGAAATCAGGTGCACTATTCAGACATTTTATGAAACCACAAAAAATAGAGAAATGTAACGAAAATAATCTCAAAAGTAAAATGATAATGATAGTCATAGAATTAATAATTAGACGAAGCTCTTGCACACATTGATTATGCGCATAGTTTCAAGCGCTCTAAAAATGTTTCATTATTGCTGATTTAGGTTCGTCATGCTTTAAAATTGGACAATTCGGCAATTCGCCAAATTGTAGTTCATTTACTAACAGCGCATTTTTTTTTTCATTTTTATTACGCGCCTGTATGTCTGGCAAAATTTATTGATACTGTAAGAAAACAACTGAAGACATTGACTGTTTCGTTTTGCGTTCAGTTGTTGAATTACAAGACCGCGAAAACTACAAAACGCAAGAATTCTGACGTCTCCGGAAGATAAATGTTAATGCAATAAAATATGAATCACAGCACCATACGTATTAATGTAAAATTGGCGAAAATGAAATTAATTCAAGTAAAAAAAGATAGTGCTAAATTTCAGCTGCAGCGAACTAATGAGATTTTCTTCCAACAAACTGACAACCTGCGGTCAGACGTTCGCTTAATTCATTTTAGGTGACAGCAGAGCTTAAGTAACTTCTCAAACACTTGACTGCCAAACTATGACACGAAATGTTTTCGTCAAATTTAAAATGATTTTGTTTTGGTAATTGGCAAAGAGCGGGCAGCTCATAGGCCCGCACAAGGTAAAAGATAATGCTGTGTTTGTACGAGTCAAAGTTTCTGCATTCGGGGCGCTTTTATCTTTCTTTCCGGCTTGCGCGCATCAATTTTCCTTTTCCTTGTCACCTTCTTCGCCAAATTCTTTTTAACCTTTCTACGAGCACTCTTTGCTGGATCGGCCACTGCCTAAAAAGGCAAAAATATAAAGATTATAAATCAATAGATACGTATAGTTTATGACGTTATGAGACGGAGAAATGTTCAATTGTTTTGATGCTTTTTTACAATTTCACTATTTACATCCTAGCGTAAATTTCTTCACCACTTAAAAGAAAATTACCGAATATTTGAGAAATGTAGGAAGTTAAAGCGAATAGGAAGAAGATGACTCATCAAAATAATCAAAATAAATATGAGATGTTCTGAAAAAAGATAACTACGTCTTTGTTTTTCACTACATCAATGCAACTATCATGCCAGTCTCGAATTCCAACACGTTTGTCGTTTGCCTCTGTTGTGTTCGCTGACTTGGGAATTTTGGGGCGCATGCATCAAACGGAAACGGGTTCATTGAGGAAAAAGAAAAGACGAAATTCACGCATTTATCTAAGTTTGCAAAGTAGTAATTTTCCTCGTCAAACACAAAATGCACAACTTACCTCTAGCGCAGTCTTTCTCTTTCTCGTTTCCCGCGCTTCGGTCGCGGTTTGCTGAAGATTGGCGTAGGCCCACGAGAATGTTTCCCGTTCGACAAGACTTTTGATGAGTTCCAGCACTTCCTTGGCAAGTTTCACCAAATCGGAATCTATATAAAGAAGTGGGTTTGAAGTTATGCATCCAAATATTTAAGAAACTGGTGCGGGTTTTATGGACCAAACAAAGTTCAAAGTAAAGCAAAACCACTACAATACTAGGTTCCTTTTGGCCATCTACTGAAAAGTGCCGCCTCTAGAAAAGTTTGTGTCTGTGTCTCAGTGAAAGACCATTCCAACTCAGAATTCAGTGCAGGGGTGCTAAATTCCCATCAAGAAATCAGATTCCTCTTTGTTTCACGTTCTTAGATCGCATTGAACAACATTTTTAAAGTTTTAAAAATGTTACCTTTATAACTAGTGGCTAATTCCAACTCTCTGTAAACTGGGCTTAGGATATCCACTAGATGTGGTTCAATGGCATCTTTTCCCAAATTAATAGACACTGCAGCGAGCCATCTCAACACACAGGATCTCTGAAAGATAATCAACAACATGACCGAATGGATAAGCACTAATCGGCTTCTCCTAACAGCTAAACAACACAATAACTCTTTCCTGAGTTCACGGTGGACACTTCCACCACTTTACCATAGTTTCAAAACTCATTTACCAAGAAAACAAAACAGAGACAACCAAAACTATGCTACTGCTTTACATCAATAAAAAAGAGCAAGCATCGTTGATACCGACCTTTTGTGTCTGTTTGGGGGTTTGAGAGGCCTCTTGAGTCGCTAGCTTGTTCATGTTGGCTAGAAGGATTGCCAGCGAGAAAGTCGTTCCATCACCGGCACTGATACATTCTTCGTTTTCTTGTCCATGTTTACCTCCCCCCTCGTTTTGAAGCTCCAAGAGTTGCAGTGTTTTGGCCAGGAATACCAAGTTTTTGACAATCTGTTGTGGCGAAACCAAAGCAAGAAATTTATTCTTCCATGTCTGGATAAAATGCATAAGGTGGAACAGAAAAAATGTAACAAGGCATTGGTCCTACCTGCTCTCCCAACTCGTTTTCCAAGAGCGGAGAGTGAAGTTGAGTGCAGAAGTCATCGCAAAGCTTGGACACCTACACGAGGTAAGGAACATAGTAACGTGATAATCACAAAAAACTGCCTAGAGTTAAAAGATTTTTGTAAGTTCTAGAGTTCTAGTCACCTTTCCAGGTAGATCCTTTGTTAGATAAGAGTTTAATGAACCTCCCCTCTGATAACCAGAAACCAGGTCCTCGGGTTTCCACGCAGCAAAGAGAAGACCGAATAATCGACTGGACACCAGTCGGACCCAGGAGTGGGGATGCAGCAAATGTGCTTCCACAGATTCTATCCAGGTAGACAAAAACAGACAGAAAAGGATATCATTAGACATCGATAAATAAGCAAATAAACTTTGGTAAGCTTGTGAGAGTTTTTACGTCGGTTGGTCGCCTGTTGAAAACGAATTTTTATTCAAAAGTCAGACCATTTACCAACTTTTCCCTTAATTGTTCATACAGGAGCCTCACCCTGGATGTACCTGAGTAAGATGCTTTGGTGAAAGAGGCACAACTACCCAGGGACGGGAGAGTAGACAAAGACCAAGGGGAAATTCGTGGATGTAAATTTAAGAACTGCGCGTGATATTTCTTGAAAAGGCAAAAGGTTAAGGTTTGAGAGGCAAACAGGAAAAAAAAACGAATTTATTGATGTCTGCTTCAGTCGTTTGTAAATAACAATGAATATAATTCCCTTAGTAATAATTATTTTTTTCGCTTTTTGTCTACAGGATTTATCTTAAGGATGTAGGAGAAGCGAGTCAAATCAGATTATTCCTATAACGTTTGTCGTTGCCATAATTAAGATCTGTCAGGCTTTGACCCAGTAATAATAGTGCCATACATTCTGTCTCGAGTCACTACTCACCCCAGATTTGCGCCATTTCCTGTTGTCGGCTTGGATTCTTAATAACTTGACAATGTTGAGTAATTTTTGTCAAAAACGAGAGAGTATTAAAAAGTAGGTGATCCTTTACCCGGTGGAGACCCTCAGAAATGTCACGTTCACCGCTTTCCTCGGCACGCCCCTCCTAAACAGGGAAAAAAAAACATTATAGCAAGTAATTATAAAAAAAGATGTTTGGAAAGTAATTTTAAACGGAGGGGAAACTCTAAGATTAAATCTGGAGCTGCGACCTTTTTAGTGGAAAGAATTGCTCCTCTAGGAAAGAGAGTAAAGGTTGAAAAGCGTAACGTGGAAGGTAATACACGTGAAGTAGAAAAAAAATCTGTTTACCTTTTCAAACTGATCTGGAACTATAAGAGAGCTAACAAGTGGTAACAAAGATCCAAGTCTTTTCTCGAAGCCCTTTTCTTCAACCTCAACGAAAAGACCACTGACTTGAGCAGCAAGGCGGTGTAGAGCGATCTACGAAACAAAAAAACACTGCGGTTGGAGAAAGTCATATTAAACACTTATTATGGGCAACATAAATGAGATTTCTTTAAGTAAATGAATAAACAATAAATTAATATTTTCCATGATATCACAGCACCAAAAAATACAAAGAACGGCCGAGTTACATAAACGCATTTAAATTGCATTATTTACCTTTTTATCTTTGAACCATAAAAGAACGATAGAAAACAGCTTCTGTCGCTCATCGGCGTCAAGCTTCGGAAACAAAGTAAGAATGTCACGGAAAGAGGCTTAGATTAAGTTTTCAAAGAACAGCATATTGCGGTAAGAATTCGTTTATTCGAGAGATTAAAGCTTGATTAGATAATCTTTCTGTTAAAAAATCTATCCTTATCTAGAACTACACTGACATACTCTACGAACATTGTTTTCGGAACGGGTGAGTACCTTCCCAAGAAGTGACTTGATAACAAGTGCAGTCAGCTTACGGCAACTGGCTGAGTCATCGTTTACCAGGCGAGAGGACAGCGGTACAAAGAAAAACCCAGCGTAGTCGAACAACATTGACTGAAAAAAAAGAGATGCTTCGTTAAACAGTATCATTCGTATAAGATTGAAAGTAAGGAAAATATAATGCTTAGGCCAAACAAACGAAAGTGTGAAGTACTTTATATTCGTGTTTGGAAAGTCGTTGTTCACAACGAAGTGGAGCATTGTCTTTCTTGCTAACTACCATGATTGCAGATTAGACTACCTTAACTAATTATTTGGCTGATGGAAGTTTCATCATCTCACCTTTGGAAAAGAAGAAAACATAGATTCCAACATCTCCAGCGCCGATTCCCGACCAGTTTCGTATTCATAGCTAGAGTAAGATTAGGAGAAATTCAGAAGTACACAATCAGCGGGGATTGTGCGTAGTGAACTAGCTCAGAGCAGAAACCTGGACTACTCACCTCAGCTGAGAAACATAAAACTCTAGATATCTTTGCAGTTTGGTCCCTAGTGGGTAATCGAGGAGAAACTGTAGCATAACCTGTAAAACAAAACTTAGGATTGTAAACACCTAGTGCAACACCTCCAACAACAACAACAACAACAACAACAACAACAACAGCAGCAACAACAACAACAACAACAACCACAGCAACAACAACAACAATAAAAAGGACCACAGCTTAAGTGTCCACAAGAGGCTATACGCGTGAGGGTGCTGCCACCCAATTCAGGACACTCTGAGCTGCTATGATAAATTAACAATATTTATAATTTGTTACTAAAAAAAAGTAATAAGAATACATAGGTAGGCATCAAATAACAAAGTGGTTGAGTAAATATCCAGCAGTTACCTGTCTTGACTGGAGCTGAACGGATGGTGAACTACCTGTGATTGACAGCTGCCCAACTTTCCACATGACATCGTGGATTTCAGGAACAATGAGTTTTCTAGAGAGAATTGCCTACGAAAACAACAAACAAATAAATAAACAAATAGACAAAAAAATAATCTTTCTGAGAAACTTCGTTTTAAATGCATTAAAGAATATCAGGCAGTGTTTATCTAGGTAACTCATTCACGATGTTACTGAGTACAGTGTTTGTACGTTTACAGGAAGGAAACCCACAAAATAAGATAAAATATTTACCTTCAGAAGAGGAAAAGCTGTTCCTTGTTTGGTGTGATCATGAATGTCTTCCTCCACAAATCCCAGCAACACCTGCAGGTGTTTCTCAGCGACTGTGAATTCCTTGAAGTCCCTTATGACAACGGTCATGGCCTGCAAATGAAAACGCACATGCGACTGTTAGAATGTGTAGAAAAAGACAACAAATGCAACAATGATTTATTTGTATCAATTATGTTCCCTTGAAAGACTTCCAAAATGCAAGTGATAATCAAACAAAATTTTGGGCGGGGCACCTAAAAGTCTAAAAGTTAAAGTACTGGGGAGAAAGGTTTTTAAAACTTGAAGGTATCGTTTTAATGCATTTTCTGCACTTATAAAAATGCATTCCAAAAAAATTCGTGATTATAATAATTTTCGCCCTACAAAGTTTGTTTTTTCCTTGTTCAGTGTTGTGATAGATCTGTCCATCCCGTGGAAGACAATTCCGAGCACAGATTGCCCTAATAAACAACGTAAAGAAACACAAATAAAGCTGTCTGTGGTCATCTTCGCTTGCGTAAGGCGCCCACACATATGCATATCCTGTTCATTGATGCTCGCTTTACCAAGCCATACCAGTATTTCAACCTACTCGCCTGGTACTAAAGTTACCATTTAGTACATTTTCCTTAAAAACGATTCTGAAACTTAATACACGCATTCGTACCTTAAAGGCCGAGATGAGCATTTCAAAGTTCTCTCCAACTTTTGCACCGGCTTTTGCATAGTTTTTCAGTATGTTGAAGAGGAGTTTTCCCATTGTGGGGACATGCTTGTTCAACGACGGAAGTGGAAACTTAACGAGCCAGCTGACACAACGGAGAGAGATCGTCACAACCTGGAGATAAAATATAACTGATCAGGGCATTACAGCGAAAATTTGAGCCATTTTTAAGCAGTGGAAAGGGTCCGGAAACGGCCCTTAGTAGAGCACATGAAAAGAGAGATGCCAGAAAGAAGGAAAAAAGAAATGTCGTTCCTCTTGGAATCCGTAACGTAGACTTCGGAGAGGGAAGGGAAAGTAAAACAGATTTCTCCTTTATGGCCAAAACTCAAAGACAGTAATACAGGCGTTATTGCTCATCCGTAAACTTTACATAGAAACTATCAGGACAAATAAGAATAAAAACGTTTTCTGTGTTCCTTAGAGACGACAAACTGTACCTTGTTGTATTTGGATTTGAGGCAGTCTGTAAGAAGCACCACGAAAGGATCCAACATTCGTTGATGTTCCTGGTCTGAAGGCGAGAGTTTTCCGTGTTTAAGCAGCATATACAGCAACTAGAAAATTGAAAAGCACGAGGGATCTTCCAATTTGGATTTCGTATTTATCAACACAATGAAACCAGTCAAAGTTATCACAGAGTATTCTGCATTAAACAATAAATAACATCACGGTAAAGTTTCGCGTCACCAGCATAGAAGGTTCTGATCGCTGAGCTGGTAATGTTTAGAAATTGTAAACATGGAATTTTACAAACTTTAATCGCCTCTTTCGTTGGCTGATACAGTTTGCTTCACTCACCTGAAGACCAAACTCCACTAGAATGTGATGATTTGTCTTGTTGTTGTTCTGAGGGACATTACCTCCTCGTACAGGGTTGGGTGGAAGCAACAACGAGCTACTCGATTGGAGCCTGGGATCGGCTGGAGTCGAAATTGCTTTCTTTTCCCTGCATTTGAAAAATAAACAAATGAGCTTCATAGGAAAAAGCTGCTACAGGATGTCTTTGTAAATTAGACATATTGAAATTTATCGTTAACTCAAGATAAGACCATATAGCTGATAAGTTTCTCTACTCTCGTCATATTGTGAAGAAAAGTTAAAAGTTATATACTCCTTGGAGTTAAAAAGTTGAGCAAATAGTTCATGCACAAAAGAAAAGAAAAACTAAACGGCTCCATGGCAATGATGAAAAGTGATCAAAATTGATTCCTTTACACGGCTTGAGGAGCATGCAAAATCTCTTTACGCGTACAAAATTTATTTGAACAGGAACTCCACGAGGAAACTGCCAGTTTAACTCCTTCGGGTGACAGAGATTTGGATTTTTCCCCCTCCCCCCCCACCCCCTCGAAAAAAGAGAAAAATACTTTCTCTTCTTAGGCTCCCTACATTAATACTGAATTGTTTATACCACTCACTCTTGCTTCATTTTCAGCATCCGCACATTTTCACCAGTTATTCCGTGGATAAACACAAGCAGTATCCGCGGAGTGATGCTTGCGTTCGCTTGTAGTCCAACACTAATTTTTCGGAGGACTTCTTCTACTCGACGAGCAGTTTTGTGAATTTGAGTGGAGTCAAGAACCTGAAAGAATTAACCATCAAGCATTTTAGTAAATGTATTTTTCTTTTTTGGAAATGTTGGTGAAAGCTGTTACAATTCCTATCACCCTAAAAAAAAAACAAAACAAAACAAAAAAAAAAAAACCAAAAAACCGGGGAGGTAAGAAAGATTATGGAAACTTTGAGCTCACATGATTAACTAACTAAGCTAAGTAGCGACCAAAATTGAAACGTAAGCCACACAGAGCCACAATAAAGGACTTCAAGTGAATAGAAACAAACGTATGTTCACTTTTCACTTTGCGTCCACTTTTGAAGTCGTTTGGGTGTCGCCTGGGGCGGAGGAACCACGTCACTGCTTACGATTATACATATAATTTGACTGATTTGCGCCTATAGACAGAAATCAGCCAAAATATTTCCAAGTCCGTCAGGTTTCTCAATTAAAATCCGTTTTAATGTTCTTCTTTCGAAGATTTATCATTGCCTCTTTTCTGTCATTACATTTTTCAGAGCTTACTTTTTTAAGTAAAGATTATATTTTTGCACCGCAAACAAGAAGTCACTCAAAATATCGTTATGTAACTAATTTAAAAAAAACCAAACCGAAACCACAAAGGTTTGCTCCTGTATCGTAAATATAAGACCCACCTCCTTCAAGGGGGATATCAGAAGAGTCAGTGACCGCGTTCCGGCAAATTTTGCAAGAACTTCGAATGTGTCAAAGCTTTTGCATGTTTTTGCTTCATGAAGCTTGTTGACAATCTTTTCCACCTCACGCTCTTTAGCAACTTCTCCGAATAAATCCTCAACTAGCACCTTTGAAAAAAATAAAAAAGATAAAAGAACTATTGGTAGCAGATCTAACGTGGATAAATTATTTGACTATTTGTACAGTTTTCCCCACTGGTTCGCAAAACTAAGCAAAAAATCTCGGTGACTAGCAAAACCAAGTCAAAGAACAGTGTATCACGGAGAGTTTTTAACGACTCTCAAACTTTCTTGAACTCGCTAAGTGACAGTTTGAGCTCCTTTGTGTCCAGAACTTCTTGGTTATTGTTTATCTCCATGCATGCATTGCATACCAACGCAGGACAGTCTACGGTTCCCTACAGGCGTATTTCTACACCAAAGTCAAGTAGAATCGTGAGGTGAATAGAGCAGTTTTTTAGTAATTGTGGAAAAACTAAATCCAAAGTAATAACTGCGACCAATTGAAACAAATGTGAAAATTATGATTAGCCAATGAGAACTCAGAGTAAGAGCAGGCAAACTGCTTGAAACGCGGGAAACTCAAGTGACCAAGTCGCGATGAGCTTCAGCTTTTTAATATGACTGATTCAGAGGGCGGCGCGATTTTTCTAGACCAATCACAGAGCGCAAAAAACACAAATCCGGGCGGCGGTCTCAGACAATCAATAGACTTAGAGATTTCTTTATTTCTTTTTGAGTTTGATAATTGAAGGAGAAATAAATATTTCTCTGATAGCAACATGCACAGGTTCACAATCAAAACCCGTATCACTCTCGATTGTGATTGTGTATTATTGCAGATTCCCATTTAAGTAAAGTATTCTTGACATCGAGTAAGGCAGGTGCATGAGCCAATCAGAGGGCGCTGATCTTAGGTCAATACTACAAGCAAACACTTCACATTGTCGAAGCAGGTAAACGCTCGTGAGCCAAGTCTTGTAATATAACAAAACATTGACCAGCGATCCAACCTGCATGACTAATTTCCGTAAACATTAATCCTATGAATAAGATTTTAATTTCATTTTTTTTTTTCAAAGAGTGGTTGCTAGTACTACGCTAAAAAATTTAATAAATTGTCTCGAATTGATTATGATATCGCATAATACTATAGAAAAATTCACTGCCTGACGAGTGAATTCCACGTTAAATTCCAGGCAGTGAATTTTTCTTGATTCGCATAATTGAATAAAAATAAAAAAAAAAGAAAACGGTAATAATATTTTTTTGTTTTTATCCTGAGCGCGCGCCCCAGAAAGCCATTTCAAAGTCAACTGTCAGAACTATCATGGCGTTAGCGAATAAGAGACAAGGTCGTACACGTTGAAATCTTCGACAACTTTATTTGTTTGTTTTCAAACTTTTTAAACAAGCTTCACACTATCTTAAGGATAATAGTGGTATTTTGAGTGTGAGGATTTCCAAATATTTTCCGAAAATTTAAATCTCAATATTTGGCAGACATTCATTTGCTGCAAATTTGTTCATTTCCGAAGTGATATTTTTCGTAGCACGAGTTGCATTTTTGTTTTCACGACAGCAACAATTTTTGCTCGCGACTCACGTCTGCAATATTCCTTCATGCATAAGTGCAATTCCACGCTAAATACCTTACCTTCAATAGCCAATCAGACCGCGAGTTTACCTTGAGCTACACGATTCTATCACAAATTGCAAGAAACATCGACGGAAGTGTAATGAAGTATTCAACGCAAAATTTAACAACTTTTTGCCTTTTCAAGCAATCAGTCCGAAGAATATTGATATAGATGGGGCTGAGGCGATTCATCAGAAAAAATAAGACATTTGAGGAATAATGATTGTAAATATATGAAAATCATATATATGCACTGCGGTGAAGAAACGAATATAAGAGATCCTCGCAGCTATGAACACTACTGAACTATTAGTTGAAATAAGACCAGAAAAAATTGAGTTCTCATTATTTTTATTGTTTTAAAAAACTGAGTATGGTCGTGCTAGCTTCTAATTTCTCCCTTATTATTTCTGTGCTTAGTTGAATTTCTTCAATGCAGTGAACGAAACATACGGATATCATTATCGATCTACATTTTATACGGTCAAGTTTCTAACCTATTACATAACTTTTTTACATAAGTACATTAGGTGTGTGTTCAACCCGATAACTCTGATGAACCAAAGTTTTAAAATGAATCGTTTTAGTCTGACCACATTCTTAAAAAAAAAAAAAGGGTCAGAATGTTTCATCCAAAAATTATCGCTATAGATTATTTATTCATTGTTTTTTAACTAATTGCCACCTTCCCTACGAACAGCCCTTGAATTTAAGGGCTCAAGCACTATAACAGAAAGTCAACAGATTCAATGAGCGCTACAATGGTAAATTACAACAAAAAGGCATCAATCCCTGAAACTGTCCGGATACAAAAACCTGTACTTTTACTGTGCCATTCACTTAAAGACCCTTTTTGGCAAAACGTAATTAAGTCGTGAAATTGATTTCGGATAACATTTATGTCCTTCAAAAGTTATTTTAATTTTTATCAGTGGACATTTCCTATGGACTTTTGTGTTAAACACTTCATTAACTTTTTGCTTTAGAGAAGTTATTGAATTTTGTTCTTAAAGGTTATGACGCTCTGAGTTTAATATTTCACAAAAATTTTGCGTTAGAACAGCTATTGAATTTTGTTCCCAAGACATTTCGTCACTTTGCCTTAAATGCTTTATTACATTCTACGTTAGCATTACATTTTGCGGCGATGCTTACGAGATTTTGCTTTTGTATTATATTTTTCCATTTTTAGGCGTGACTGTCCTTGACACAAAAGAGAACACTCGTCGATTTGATCGCACAGTGATACAGTCACAAGTGGAATTTAAAAACAACTGAGCGTAAAAAGCAATTGGTAACATGTTTGATATATTTAGAGCCACGTCTACACAGAAAACGCGAACGGCTAAATGTACCTCTGAATTCATTTGTTTTTCTTCTTATCATTAAATATCATTAAAGAGATCCACAAACGAAATAAAAAATGTATCTCGTTTTTTCGGAAAACGAGAAATATTTCTCATTACTACAAAAGGGCTACAGGAATAATAGTAGGGGTTGGTTATTGAAACGAATTCCAAATTTGGTTATTGAAACGAACTTGGGAGGCGGTTTAGACAAGTGATGAACTAAGAGATATATTCAGGAGTCGGACATTTTGGGAAAATAACTGTTTCTCCAGTGTGGGCCACGTGCCTTTTTGTTTCTGCTCTCTAAATCCAGCGCTTACCTACGACCTTTGGCTAACTCGGAGATGGCTTTCGCGCACTTTTTAGAGAAAAACAGCCAAACTCTGTTTTAAAAACTGGCCATAGAGGTGTAGCTCTATCAATTAAGTTAAAAAGTAGGTGCTGGAAGAACTTGGACTGTTCTTGGCCTCACGGTGCGCTCACAGTCCAGTGTACCAAGAGTAAGGCTCTCATTGTTACTGTCCCTGTGTCTCACAGTAAAATCTGTACAATCCTGTGTCACGACTGTCGAGTCTGGAATCACTTGGTTAAAGCACCTCCGACCAAGAGGAGTTAAAATCGCGCGGAAGCCGCGCCGATAATTTTCTATGAAAATCAAGTAGATACAGGGGTTAATTGCACTTGTGGCATGCCCCAGAAAGAACGCTGGGAACACTAACTTGCACACCTTTAGACCGTAACGATTTGAAAGTACCGGATAGAAGAAGTGGAGGCACCAGCCGAATGCAAAAACAAACACAATAGTAAACATCATGTTTATCACTTTACGTGTTCGTTTCAGACGATTTTTGTATCTTCTCTGTGTGATGGTTAATTCTTCTCCCACCGGCTTTCGTTTCTTGAGAGACACGAGTATAGCGCTGTAGAGCACAGTAAGAACAAACAATGGAATTACATAGAAGAGTACAAACGCGAAATTTAAGTACACGTCCGAGGCCGTTTGAGATTCCAGTTGAAGTACACAGAAAGTTTTGCCGTCTTCAGTTTGCACAAGGCGTAAAGCGTAGAACAACGGCGAGCGAACGGCCGCGGCGATGATCCACACAAGCGCGATTGACGCATTCGCGACCAGGTTAGTAATGATTCGTTTTAACGGAAACAAAACTGCAAAGAACCGATCCACTGCCATCACAATGAGAGTTAAGACAGAAACTGATGCCGAAAGTTCTTGGGTTATTGGAGCAATTTTGCAAAGAAAATGCCCAAGGCCGCCGCTTATTCCCCATTCAGAGCCGAGAAAAAAGCGCGAAATCATCCTGGGCATGTAGAACACCGTAATGAGAATGTCCGCAGCAGCCATATTAACGACAAAGAAATTTACCGGCGTTCGCATTTTACGGTTCTTCAAAACGACGGCGAAGATAAGGGAGTTTCCGATTAATGATACCAGCATTACTATGACATACAAAGACACTTTCACAACCAAAGACACTGTGGAGGTATCTGCACCACAGTAAAGATTTGTAGCGTTTGTTGCATTTGACATGTCTGTCATTTTGTTTTTATTTTCGAAAGAAAACCCAAACTTGTTTAGTAAAAAAAGAGGTAAATATCTTCAGTCTAATACCTCAGTCCTTCTTGGATTCAGAGGTAGAATACGTCAATTAGTGCACGTTCAAAAGCTGCCGGTGGAAGATAAATGTTGCCGGCCTCTTTCGACGACGCGGATCTGTTTTGCGCGAGAGGTACTGTAACTATGAAGTGAAGACTTAAAAAGAGCGCAAAACCGTACAGGACTGAAATTCTGAGCCTTCGAGTTTATAGTCACATCCGTTTTCCAATTGATTTAATTACAGCTGATTGTTACATCTATTCCTTCACACATCTAATAGAACGTTCTCTAGTTTAGTCTTTATCACTTTAGTCGCAGCAGGCCGGGTAAATATGGTGCACTTGTGGTAAATATCCGAAATTCTCCGAAACACTGAAATCCAACTCGTGTCGAAATCCTGAATAAATTGCCTAGAAACCTCAGACTTGTTCAATCGTCTTCTTAACAGCTCTCCAAATAGGCAAGTTTCAAGACCTCTGGCGAAATAATAACGACAGAAATAGTTTCTTCTCTGTCTTTCGGCTTTAAACAGTAGTACCTTTGTGGAGGCGTGATTCGATTTGAACTCCGGAACGGGAAACGTCAAGTCGTGTGACTGTTAAACATTGTGGGCAGCTGTTAAGTATTTAGACAGGTGACGAAATTCTTTGAAAAGCATTCCAGAAACACAAATCAGCAGCGTTTTTTGTTGGAAATCACTGGAGATGTTTGAATTTTTAAGAAGAGCAAAATTATTCTCTATGTGAGTAAACTACCTTTGACACCTAGTAAAAAAGATTTCGTTGTAAAAAGAAGATGATGAAAAGGTTTGTTGACTATCCATGACATTCAAAGCTCTTGAACAAACACGTCGCCGTGTGAATAAAGGATTTATGGTGTAAAATTGTACAATTCTTCCTCTCAAGTGCAATTACGGCTTCACATAAAGACAAATAAACTCCGGTAGCAGTTTGGAAAACTCTACCAACAATTGGCCAACATAATTCGTTATCGGTTCTACTAGGCCACGCTAAACAATTTCTTTAAATAAGAATAGAATAACAATTGTCTCAAAGGATGCGTTATTAAGTTAAGCTGCAGCTGCAAACTTCGACATCATAGATGACTTTTCGTCAACGAATGTCTACTCACTAGACTTCGCTCATTCTTCTCTGACATTACTATCATCTCGAAAACTGGCATAATCTCTAAATTTAGATGCAACCTACAAACAAGCTGCACGAATTGAATAAATAACGTTTTAAGATCCTTCAACAGGTAAACGCAAATGTGCAAAATTCAAACGCAATATTTAGTCCTCTCTCAAGAAAATCAACCAACTTTCCACTGGAGATCTAATTTTTCAGCGAAGATACTCGTTTTAAGATTTAAATTAACTAAAATGTGAATCAATTAGGGATTAAAATGAATGAATATGGAAATCAGTAAGTCACGTCGGTGTATTTCATACGATTTTCTTGGAATCGCAACAGTCCACATTAACTAGAGATCGTACAACAGCGAAGTTACTTCGGCCTCACTCCACTACTTTGACTTCTATAACAAGATCTCAATGGCAAATTTCGTTACTGACAAACAGTGATTCTTGAGGAATTGTTCTACACTTGAGAAATTGATGTTTACTTGAAAGATATATTGGCCGTATTTTGATACTTCTTATTTTCTCACCACTTGCTTGTTCGACAATGTATTTATATCGTGGAGAGAAATTATTTATTGGTCACTCCTGAGAGTTTAAGTCCGCCAAATCGGATTTTCTATCTTCACGCACTTGAGCAGCCGTAGTCTTTACACACACGTGACCAAAACCGGACCCTTTAGGGAAACTGGCACTTGCACTCGATTTGAGCATTTTTAAGATAACACATAAACAAAAGTTAAATGTATGATAATAATCTTCAAAGGGAAAGCATCCTCAAAAATGAGTAACGAAGCTTCCTTGCGTTACCTCTACTAATCCTTGCAGACACGCATCCAGTTCCCCTGCGGCCAAATTGTCGCTCATTTTGTCCAGTAATGTATGAATGGTGAAACCGAGCACGTGAAGCTAAAAAAAATCGTATAATTATATATTTTTTCTAAATTTCTATTTTTTTTCTTTCTATAGAAAAAAACCAACAACAAAACAAACAAACAACAACAAAAGCAACGGCAACAATGGCGAAGTGGTGCTCACTGAGATCTGTTATCAATCCCCGTAACCAGTGCCGAGTTTGTAGGTTCTCTCCCAACGTTATCTCTAAGTTCTGCGGTTCTCCCATTACAATAGGTATGCTCGCATCTCCTCAAACAAGTTAATAATTTGACACCGAACCTGTGTATCAAGTCATGCCTTACCTGGTATCCTCTTGTTAGTGAACTCCTGAGCTCCTTTAGTACGAAAGGGAAGTACTGGGTTCCAAGAGAAATAGTGATCTTTGCGAGCGTATCCCGCGCTGCATCACGGACCTCCCGTGCTCTGCTCCTCAGTGTGTGACAAACACGGAGAAGAAGACTGCAAGAAAGACAGACAAAGAACTGGCTCAAATCTAAAATAACGCTCATAAATTCATAAATTAGAGAAGTAAAGAAAAAGCTGCAAGGTTACAAAAGAGCAAAGAATGAAAAGATTAGAGAGGAAAGAAAGGAAAAATGAGCATCGGCGGAATTGATGACACTATCGATCGAACGGACAAACACATGGATGACCGGCCGACCGGCCGACCGGAAGAAGAGGACGAACGATCGATGTGAGAGAATTATGAGCTTGAAAGCAAATTTTTTTATCAACTTACCCGGGTAGATGTAAGTGAAGCGCATGCTCAGGTAAGGATTGAAGCAGTTTAACAATGGCGAGAATGACAGGAACACGTAAGATATCCTCTTCATCTTCGGCCTTCTGACGACTCAATCGGTGAAAATGAGCCGACTTGTTCTAAAAAACGAAACAAAATTATAGGGTTACGTTTATTGTAGACGAGAAAACATGTTCTTCCTAGCAAACTCTTTTTGAAACTTTTTTGAACACCCTAAATAAATCAACAAAACCTCTTTCATTTCTTTTCCCAGGCTCGTGACAAGGAAAAAAAATACTTCTCAACACTACCGAGCAAATATCTTAATATCTTTCCTATTCTATTTTCGCACGTGACGCTTCCTACATTGTTAAACCTAGTAATACGAACCTTGCGACGGTCTGGCTCACCCTAGAATCTCTGAGGCTCAGAAGGAATCCGAAAGTCTGAAGTCCGATTCCTCGTGAAGAATGGGAATTTTTTACTTTGTCCCGAGGTCGTGTTTATAAGAATACAAAAATCTTCCTTAAAGTTCTCTTAAAAAGCACAGTATGCAGAGCACACAACCGATGAAGCAAGACTGGTTGAGTTCGAAACATTAAGGGAGACCAGGCTAGTTTAAGATGTTCAAAATAGCACTCCAACTCCGTAAGGAAGAACGAAGTCATTCGTCAAAGTAATAAAAGCTCGTCAACCTCAACATACATAGAAAGGCTGGATGTACTTTTGCCATTCAATTAAACTACTTGTGGCCTAACGCGTGTATTATTGCGGGTTCTACACCCTCACCTTCTTAGTCACACATTTTTGCAATTGAGGTAAAATACTGGAGGTAATTGTGTTGTAGATACGCAAAGCAAGTTCTTCTTTGTTAAGATCTGGTGTATCGTCCTTTCCAGTGTCTCCTGCTTGACCGCCATCATCGTCTTCCCCTTCTTTATCATTGTCATCATCATTGACAGCATTATCTGCATCATCAGCTTCTTTCTTTCCATCAGGTCCAGTTTTTTCACCTTCGAGATTTGTTTTTAATCTTTCAGTGTCTTTGCTGCTTTCTACAGCCAAAAACATAAGATAAGAGCAGTTAGTAAATAAAAAAAGACAAAAGAATAAATGAGGGTTATAAGAATAGAGCAATTTGAACTTATTGTCTTAAAAACCAAACCAAACCAAAGTTATCAGAAAGACCAACCAGAAGAAACGCTAATACTCTGAAGAGCTAATAAGAAATCGAAGTAAAGCCAACCAAACTACCTAAAGCACGGAAAACGCGGGTAACAAAGTCGTGATTGGTTGAAGTTTTGCATGTGATTGTTTAAGAAAGTCTGGACCAACCACAAAACGAAATAAAACCAAAACAGAGCAATTCTGGATCACTTTTGACACTCGATTGAAAATTACATTAACAGAAAGTGTACCAGCTCAAAAATTCAACGTATTCTACGTCATTGATGATGGGGGTCTCTAACGGCTGACGGGACAAAAAATTTAGCTTCTTGTTTTTAAGTTCTTCGTTTATAATCTGCGTTACCCTCCATCATCCCCAGCCACGCTTGCTCCTCTTTTACTTTTACTTGTCTCTGGCGTTTTCTATCTCACCATACATTGTCAAGTATTCTCTTGTTTCAGGCAAATTTATGGTAATTTGCAAATCGAAGAAAATATAAACAAAAGTACCATGACGTTGCTTCCTTATGTTGTTGTATCAAATCCTTGTGAAGTACAAGGTTACCGAAAGCCAACGAAAGTGAGACCGTGGTTTTCGTGTTTTCAGTTCCTCGACCGCTGAACCTTTAAAAGTTGCTGTTTTTAAACTGTTACCGAGAAGAAAATTGGACAAATACGAAAAATTGAAGTGAGACCTTGGACAACTTCAGTTAACTTAACATTCTGCACACCTCTCGAAAGTTCTGTCTCCAACTGTTTGGGAACACCGCTGAGGTCAAAGTGAAAGTTGTTCAGAATGATCACCACAATCCTGAAAAAAAGAAAAGATTTAACATCAATTTTTTGATGTGCCCGTGGCAAATGAATTATTATCTTTGATGATACATTCCTGAGTTCTCTTCCTTGTCGATACAGGTTTGCATCCATGAAAATATACACAGCTTACCTGACGATCACTTTCTGGAAAGTTTTTTCAACTGGTAACAGTTTCAGATAGTGTCTTAGAAGGCTGCAATACTTGGACCAAGGTAAACTGGCCGATATTGTTCCAATAGTGGTGACAGCCTCAGTCACAAGATTATGTTCCCTCGCAGCGGTGTGATCAAAAACACAGTGTGTTACTAATGGCAATAAGAAAGCTGTAAGGGTTGTGGTTCTGAGGCTGCGCTGCTGACAATGTGCCTGTAGGCGACGCAGAGCACGTATACGACGATGAAGCTGGAAAAAGAGTAACATTGAAGTAATACATCTTAAAACTCAACCGATCAGATTATTCTCGCTTTAGAAATAAGCCTTTTCCCTTATTCTTTTTAGTTATAATCATGTTGGAATTTCAGTTTTCTACGCTTGACCACCTATTTTTCTCGAAGACAGAAATGTATAGTGATTTGTTTTGTGCCATGGCTGGATTCCTCAAATGCCAAAGACACAGTAACGAAGGTGAGTTCTTAGCAATCATTAATGCTTAACCATCCTTTCAAAAATCAAAAATCACACTTTCTTCGTAGAACACCATTCATCGACAAACTTCAAAATGGAAGGTAAGCAAAAAGGTTTTGATACACCGTACACACGTCACAAAATTTAATTCAAAATGGTCTGTATTCCTTTGTTACCTTGCAATTAAGGACACGTAACGTAAACTAAACATTCTATAAACCCAAAAATATCTAAGGTTAAGAAAGCAGTTTGAAATATCGCACATTTCTCTTTGCATTTAGCCTTGCAAAATACACATAAAAGGGCTGACGATGACAATGTGACAGGTCCGTGCATTTAATCTTTGTTCAGTGCAAGCTGAGGACAGAAAAGAGGTTTCTTAATAGAGAAGTCTCACTTTGTATTTTCCTCACCTGAATATGTTTGATGTTTTCAAAAAAATCTTTCTCGGGATCATCGTCCAAGAGAACCTTGAGGTCTGAGAGAGAATCGTGTTGAAATTGGCGGACCATAGTTGAGAGCACACCTAGAAATTCGTTTCTGGCAAGCTAAGGACAAAAAATTGTAATTAATGCTTAGTTTTAACTTTCAAATGCATACTTTAATCGTTTTCCCTATTAAAAGAAATAGGATTGATGAAAAAATGTTGAAGAGTTTGATCTTAAAAAGTAACTATACGTAAGTCTTTCATTCAAGTCTAGTGCCCACACCCCCGGAATTTATCATGGTTTCCATAGCAACTATGAGTACTAATACTGACAATGGAAGGGATCCAGGGTTCATTACCTTTCCCATCCACTCCTCTCCCCTCTTTATTGGATTCCTTCCCTTTTACTGACTATTCACACATAACCCAACGTTCTTCAGCGTGGACAGAAACAGTGCGAGAGTAAAGGGTTTGGTCCAGAAATGGAATGAGAGCAATGACACCGTTGGCCGCTAAACATAAGACCACTATGGTTCCTTTTTTTTTTTCCAAATAACAGTGAGAAATTTCAACACAAATACCTCTTTCTTTGAAGCAAGAACCCTCTTGAGAGCCGGTAACAGACACTTGATGATAAGAACATGAAATCGCTCATCGTTGACTCCACTTCGCTGGACAATATTGTGCACGACACAGCTCATGCAGCTGCCAGCACTGTCTCGAATTGACATATCATCGCTGTTTAAAACAAAATAAATGCAGTTGTGTAGTATTGGTAGAATCTCCTCGGTTTTAAGGGCATCCTGTCCAATCAAACGCTTAGCATTTGCAAAGCCGGTGAGTCTTCTATCGTAATCAGGTTCTTCAATGCGCTGAGGATTCCAGGAATTCAAATCAGCAAGAACATCGCAACTCTCGGAAGAGAAAGTTGAATCGATATTCCCCACCTCAAGGAACACGTCACATAGACATTGCCTTGTACTACGAACGATTATCTGCGAGAAAAGCTTCGATAAAGACGAAACAAAGTTTCTGGGAGTTTCAACGTTCACCAGAAGGCTTTTAACAGTTTTTAAAATATTGTTTGCCGTCTCTTCTTTTTGATAACTGCTCATGAATGGTAGCAGCACCTCTATAAGAGTAGAAGATTCATTGGCGTCTTTCACAAAGGGACTTAGTTTAGACAACACTGAAAGTTCTCGTTGGGAAAGCATATCTTTTCCTTTGTTCTTTCCTTTAGAACTGTCGATGGCTTGTTGTACGGATCGACTCAGATATTCCAAGAGCTGTGGGAGGTGCGGGAGAACCAACAATGTTCCGTAACTTGGTCTACTTTCGTGAAACTCGTAGCTCGGAAATATTCTGAAAGAAGGAAAAAAGGAAAATTAAGAATATACTCAAACCATCCCTGGGTTTCCTGACCAGCACAAAGATTTATTAGAAAGTTAGCTGCAGTAAGAAATGCTTGGAGTAATTTCCAGCGTAAAAAAGTAAAGTAGTTAATTTCTTTTCTTCATCCAATTGGTTAACTTCTTGTTGAAAATGATTCCGGCACTAAAAAAGCCATGGATTTATGGTAAAACCCACAAGAGAAATGCTTTGCAAGATTGGGTTTAGCCTTCGTAGCAGTATTTTCTGTTTCCTTTTGGCTTAGCGAGAGTCACTCATGGGCACAAGGCGAAAGGGAACCAAAGAAAAAAAAAAATGAAAGTGTTCCCTTCCGTCTTTTCCTTCGCGTGAAACATGTTCAGCTAGCGCTTCGCGCGTGTGCTGAAACGAAAAAAGGGGTGTTCCGTAAGCTAGGAAAGGTTGGTCATAAAGATGAAAATCATTAAACAGACTAGTAATATTTCTCTCACCCCAGTTCAGAGCCACAATCCATCAAATCATTTTCTTCATCATCCGCCTCTAATTGACTTGCATCAAGAAGATTGTCCGCCATTTCCATTACCATGGCAACTACTTCCGATGATATTGACGGAACGCGCAGACACTCGAACACACATGACATGATAGACAGGTTGGGCTTCTCGACTGGTTTTCTTGACAGCAAGGGAAACAAACGATAATTCTTTGACCAAGAGAACAGGAGCTTGAGCAATGGAGTTGGGTGTTGGATGCTCTCTTGATTTAATTTCTCTATCTGGAAGAGAAATCGATGTTGTAGACACAGTCACTATTTACAGTACGTCCTATAGTCAGCTTGAAAACTTGCTGCATCAAGCTTAGATTTTGTATAACTGACCTGTTTCCCAGGCCCTATCACGATAAATGAATAATGTGTATAGCGTCAAATCACGTACCTAAAGGCCGGTGAACATATAAAGGCCATATTAGGCTTTGCATTTCATGTGCAGTCGCACGCGAGTTAGCAAAGTTCTAAATTTGCATGTTCATCGAACTTTCCCATAGTTTCACAATCAATTCGTATTTTGATAGAATAGATTTTTCTTCGTCAGAGAAGGAACATGCTTTATCATGAAGAAAGGAGTTGAAATAATTGGGGCGGTAAAGGTGGGAGTGAACGTGTTGTATTTGATGGGGCGAAATTGTCGTGATGGGGCGAAATTGTCGTGATGGGGCGAAATTGTCGTGATGGGAGCGAACTTGTAACAGGATGAAAACTACCTGAGGCCATACGGCAGACGAGAACAAGGCGTCGCAAATAGGTTTGAAGTCATAATCCGCCATGGACTCAAAAAATTCCGTCAAGCGCATGATAGCCATCTGTCGGATTGTTTTCAGCTGCGAGATCAGTGATGGTTGCACCTAAAAGCAAGAAAAAATAATGAAGAATAAACATATAAACCTAATGCACTGTATTAGAAAACGTTTTAAGGGTGCCGCCATGTACCACAGATTCAGAAAGTGGCAGAGTGGAGAGGGAAGTTCGATTGAGGGTAAAGTGCTGCTTATTAGTTTTGGAGTGGCTACCTCACTGAAAACTAATTACTTGACGTATCCTGAGTTATACTGGAATTAGTTTTTCTATAAACTTAAAAATTAGCACGTTAAAAAATGGGCTTCAAAGTTCGGCTGGCAACACGAAATCAAATTGTCAAGTAAAGAGTGGTAAGAGTACCTACTGCTAAAGAGCAACGTACGTGTAGTGTAACGTTGGTAAACCACTTTTTAAGAACGACTTTAGCACTTAAAGTCAAAATGGACGATTCGATCGAGGCCCTGGGATTAGGAGCAGTGGCTAAAGACTTCAATCAAAGGAAAACTTTGAACGTTTAATAAAGGGCATCTTATATGCTAGAAACTACAAAGTGTTTCCATTATCCTCTGAAGGTAACAAACCTTTTCCCGATGTTCCAGAGCAAATACGCATGTCGAGAGCAAAGACAGAATAATTTGCAGAATAGAAGGAAGAAACGACCTCGCCAGGTTGCCCAGCTTATCCAGGATTTGAGACACCATTCCCAGAAATCCTTGCTGTTTCTTTAGAGGGACAACACGGGAGAGGTCTGTTGCCACGGTAACAATCACACTTGCATCATCTGCTGAAATAAGAAATCAAAAGTCAAACAGTGATTACCAGAACAAATTTTTTTCACTTTAGTGCGACGAAGGGATCGGGCCAATATACTTATCTTGAGAAAAAGAAAACTTGCGACTTGAGCAGGCCTGGTAGATACAGAGAGCCACCTACATGAAAACCTATGATGAAGAGGAGATCCTTTTTACCTCTACAAAGGTGTTTAAATGGCGCAAAAATCAGGTCCATGAAAATTTTTATCTCTTTCTGAGGACAAGAGGCCAGGAACCTCGACACGACAGCTCGCCTCACTCCCACGCCTGCTCGTCCTCCACTTCCTGTACCGGTCAGTCTTTGCATCTTGCCGTACAAGAGCCTGGGTATCAGAAACAAAACAGCGTGTGTCACATACATTCAAAGTGAATCTGTAAATGCTATGTACAAGTCAAGCGTTTGCTGAACGAGCGCGTAAAAATTAAAACAATTCGTAGAAAACATGAAACATACATGTAGTAACTGCTTCTTAAGCTGTCGTGCTGCTTCAGTTGGAAGGTAATAGCTCTTGTTTTATTATCAACGTGGCATTCATAAAAATAAATGGATCTATCAACGTCAGTACCTTAGAAACTGCGCACCTACCCCTTCCCTAACCTAACCTAACCCAAAAAGTCAACTAATAAGAAGTTACGGTTAGTGTTGGGTCAGGGGAGGGGCAGGTGCGCACTTGCTCAGATACCGACATTGATATAAATAAATTTACCGTAACCGGAAATTTTGGTAGAGTTGAAGTTCCGAACGTTGGCTCTTCGGCAGAGAAAAAGGGGCAAAATTTACATCAGGCGGTCAAATATACCTCATTAACGAAAAGCAAAACATTGAGCAGTTTGCTACGAAAGTATTCAGCAACTAACCTTATGAGCACTGGCATTAGTCCATCTCGATGACTCATCGTCACAATGCCGCTATCCTCGTCAACTGAAAAGTGTGCCATCTCATCTCGAAAGTTTTCATCGCCTAACAAGCGCTCAATAGCCTCTTTGTACGGCTCTAGATAATCAAACTTGTAAGTCCACAGGCACTGTACTGCAAGCTTTTGTACTTCAGCCTCTCTATGAGTTAGGAATCTCAAGTATAACTCCCTTAACTGGGGTTCTTTGAAGAGAGCTTTCGGATTCTTGAAAGCTGCGAAGAGGCTCAGATGAGTACAAAGAGACTTTGTGGCCGCCTTATGTCTCTTCTTGTGCAAATTCTCTTGTGGTTTGGAATTGATGTGTTCCACTTCCGTCTCCATGGAGTCTGACTGATCGACCTCTGCCAGGGATCCTTGTGGTTCAGAAAGCTGTTTGACTCGGATGTCTTGCGAGGGAGCAACGTTTTCCATTGCCACAAAGTATTCGTTGCTGTAATAAAGCGAAAATAAACGTACTTAATACATTTATAATGCAGCACACGATCCAAAAACGGACACTTGCATGATGGACTAAATGTGCTGTTAGGTTGAACTTGGGGCGTTTTTATTGTTCTGAAAATCTGAAATACAAGACCGCCTAAAGTATCGTGGAGACTGGAAAACTTGATGAGATGCCACCCTCTAAATTCACTTTCCATTCTTCTCTGAACAAAGTAGTATTCACCTCACAAATCGAATAAACAGCGGTACCACATCACGTGATTTCTGCTCGGCGACTTCCGGAAAAGAAGCCATCGCTTTCCACAGCAGATGCCGGAAGTTAACAGGATCTTCTCTGGTCTCATCTCGTGAACCCAGTGAAGCCTTGTTGTGCTTCTCAAATATTTCATCAAGGCACTTCTTAGAATTACAACAGTTTTGTTCACTATTCTCCATTTCTGGTTGTTCGCTGCTGCTCGTATCCATTTCTTCTCCGAGTTTCTTTTCTGAAACATACATTATTTAGCAGTTATCAGCTGTTACAATGTGGATGCGTAGAGGAAACTAAGGGGAACGTACAGAGAGACTGTTGAGTCGAGGGAAAAATACATAATTTCCCTCTAAACACCTCAATGAGTGTCACTTAACATTTTTCAACACATTGGAAATCATTCCTTATCGTCAGACAACAATCGCCGTCATTAGACATTCTTTACAGTCATCATACACCACTCTCACAAGAGCACACCTTTACAAAACTCAAAGTCATAGGACATCATTCACCACCAGTAGTTAACATTCACCATCACTATACATCATTCGTTGTCACTTGACATGATTCACCGTAACTGTACAACTGTCACCCTCACTAAACATTATTTACCTTCCTTAGACATCGTTCACCGTCATTAAACATTACAGACCGTCACAATAATTCATCCATTTTTACTGAACATCACTGGATGTCACTGAAAATCACTAGATGTCACTGGACATCACTAGATGTCACTAAACATCATCCACCGTCATTAAAAATAATCCACTTTCATTAACCATCATTCCATACCATTCATTATACATGTTTAATCATCAAAAGACACAATTCACCGTTATTAAACATCAATAACCATCATTAGCCATCATCCTTCGTCACCAGACTTAATTCACCGTCTTAATATAATGCTCTTGCCATAAGAATAAGATTACGACTTCATAAAGAGTTAATGGTTGAAAAAACGCACCTACAATTCTACACTATACGTCAAACACGCACCTGTTCTGTCAGAAGTTGTGTTGAGTAGCTCACTGAATATCCTCCAAAAGTTCTTGACATTCGAGCCTTGAGCAAAACTTGCAACAATATCAATCACTGGATCCCAAAGGGGACTGAAGTTCACACAAAGCATTCCGCACAAGTAAAGCACAGCAGCATCTCTGTAGAGATCCGCCAGATCGTCGTAAAACGCTGAAGAGAAGCGGATTTTCTGTAGACACACCAGCTTGTCTCTGTACGACTCTAAACGTGTTGGAAGTTCCTCAGAGGCGAGACACGTTTGAAACAACGAGGGCCTTAAGGAGTCAGGGGGCTGCAGAAAAAAAGAGAAGTTTTCTCAGGGACCTACAAGTACACATTAATTGCGGTTAAAAGTTTTTTCAAGTTCGCCATGTGCAATCATTGTTAACCGTCTCCACTGCCAAACACCCTTTGCCCTTTATCGTATGCGTCTACCTTATTGATGTTTGCCCTACTTACTTTGCTATTGTTTCACGATTTCCATGTAATTTGAGGCAATCATTTATTCCACAAAAAAATCGACTCAGCATATTTTGAGATTACGTTTTCAAGTCAGCTATTAGGAGTACACTTGTATTCCTACTTTCCCTGGATTAGATGCTCTTCTGTCTATCAAAAGGTTACCCGCCCCCAATCCCTCCCCAATCATAGTTGCAGCACGCTACTGATGGGAGCTTTCAACAGTTATAGTACAACAGCAAGCTGTACATGTAGGTACTAGAACAACATTCATCAAAGGTTAATGTGGCACTGCACCTTGTTGTTTGATGAACTCCTTCCAAGCTGCTCAAAACTTGCCAAAATTTTAAGAGTGAGAACACGCACGAAGTGACTTGAAGAACACAAATTGAGACGGAGGTAGGGAAATATCTGCTGAAGGTTTTCCTCAAGGACAAGGACACCTCCCATGCCGTGCTTCCTCGAGGCTGCCGTAAGTTTATGACAAGCTTGAAGAATGTGGACATTGTCTGGCCAGGATCTGGACAAAGAACCACAGGTTAGAAGGTACACTATAGTCTTATAATTTAAAACATACCGAGGACCAAAAAATATGCATGCTAGGAATTGGAATATCCCAGAGAAAATACAATTTAAAACACCCTACTGAATGTGGTAAATGTTGGACCCACAATCTCCTTCAAATTACACGTATAAGTACATGGATGTACTACAGCACAAGACCACAGTATAGCAGGGATTTGGAAAGGACAAGTGACTTTTCACCTGAGTAGTGATACTATGAACTTGAAGTCCAAATTCTTGCCAATGTCCTCTGCATCAGCCACAATTAAAATGTACGACTGAATTGCCTGACCTAAAACACTCAAGCACTGGGCACTGCCCCCAGCACTTGTATTTGCCAGCAGGTGTTCACTGAAGACGCCAATAAAACTCAAGAGCTTGTCACAACACTGAGGAACATCTAAAGGACTAAACACCAAGAACAAAGTAGTTAGCTTTACAAAACAGTCATTAAACATATGCTTATGATAGATGTAGGCATATGAGCATGAGTGCCTTAGTAAATTTAATTTATTACCTTTACAATATCATTGGGAAATTCATGATTTAGTATTCTTTTTTAAAATGTTTGAAGAATTTATGTGATTTAGATATTTTGGGCTTTGTATCATTTTGCTCTTGCAACAAGCCTTTGCGAAATGTTGATTATCTAACATTTGATGTCCCTTTTAGTTAAACAGGAACTTAAAATAATTAATTTTTTATTAGGGTTTGTTGCTCATGGAATGAACTACCTCCTAACATCCTAGGGAGTCTGACTCCTTGTCAGTCCTTTGCAAGAAAATATTTACTCATTTTTATTATAAGTTAAGTGCTAATTTTTTAACTTGATTATCTTATTTTTATCACGAGTTTAGAGTAATAAGTCTTTGACACTGATTTTCTTAACTAGGTTATTAATTAACAATAACTTTCACTAAGGCGGCTTACATTAAGAAATCTTGTATTGTGTTTTAAGTTGTCCTTGATTTGATTGGATTGACTTGTTCAACATAATAATTTGGGATTTGTATTAAACAATTAAGACTAAAGAATATCAAATGGAATTCACCTCTACAGGACAAAGGACTGACAATTAAAATGCTTACAAACCCACATTGTATTTCTAAAAGAATCTTTGGCTTAGAGAAGGAAAGTCTGACCTCAACCATTTTGTTTGATTGTTTTTGGACATTTTAAATAAAGGAGGAGGTACATTGTACATAGTGCATAGTAAAGAAGGACCCTTACCCACTTCCCGCTCCTTTGCATTCAAGTTCATAATTATGTGCCTTTAACTCTTATTTCATTCACCCACTCAAGCATTAGCATTTTGTCCCAGCAAAGAAAACCCAATTAACATTGACCAGGGGCTAGTCTGTAAAACATCAATTTGTTTAAAATCTACCATGGTTGTTACATGTAAGTCAACTTAATAACACTGATAAAGAAACCTGGTAAAAGTACCTAAATCAATATAAACATACCTTATACAGGGAATGCATACAAGAGAACTCCATGTTAGGGAAAGCTTGCTTTTATCCAAGACAGCTTTGTTTTCTATTGTTACAGCATCAAGGAACACTTTTAAAATCTTTGTACCTTGTCTGGTGCCACATTTTGGGAAAAAAAGCAACCCTTTCAAGCTTGCCAAATCAAGTCCACTGCTATCTGCAGATGCAGTTTGAAAGATGACTTCTGTCAGAATAAGAATAATATCTTGAATTTTAGATGAACCTTTGAGCAGCTCTTCTTGGCAAAAGTTCAACAAAGAAGGTAAAGCATCTCTCTGGAAATGTTCCCACTTTAACAAAAGTTTACAAAACATAAACAACTGCTCTTGACTCTCTATTGTCTTAAATACTTTCGAAGTCAATTGTTTCTGGTGTCTCTCCCAGGAGAGTTCTGTGGAGGATGTTTGCAGGAGTGTTGATATAAGTTCAAACAAGGAAGAGGCAATGTCATCTGACACAAAATCCTGGACAATCATCGCTTGAACAACCTTAAAAAAATGATTGAAAATAATCATCATTGCCTGGACAACCTGAAATTAAAAACATAAAAACAAAAAACAAAACAAAAAATGTGGTCATGCTCCACAAGAAAGTGGAAGGGCAATTCATAAAGCAAGCTTCTTTATGTAGGAAGGGTATTAACACAAACAGTAGTTCCCCGCTTCTCTAGAAATCTCAGTTTTTTATTAAAAGTGCAATGCGCATTAACAGCATAAAGGACCATTCCACAAAAGCGAAAACAATTGGCTAACTCATACACACTAATGACAGGTGTGAGCACACATATGAACATCTTATTTATGTGTCTAGGTGCACACTGTATGACAAGATCAGTACGCACAAGGTATTTTGCTTGAGCTTTATGACTTACTTATCTTTGAGCTGCATTGTAAGCAACAAGTCTAGTGCTATTCCCCTTGCATGGGATAGCCTTAGCCATCTCAGGTAACCATCTTATGAGGTTTGCCCAAACAATTTGCTGATAAACTATAATTATGTAAATTCTGGATGGCTTGCCTAGCAACAAACACAAAATGACATGGCCAATATACACAAGTACTTACATCACATATCTTTATTGGGTCTGAAATCAAGCTACCAGACTTGTAGGAAACCCAAACATTAGTCAGCTGTAGAGTGAAACCTATCTGACTCTGCAGAGAACCTGCTTGATCAAAGTCATGCTGTTTTTTATTCCAAATGCTCCACAACCTCTCCAATTCCATAACCAAAGTTTTTTCCACCACTGAGCAATGTTCCTTGACTGTGTATTTTGCCATACTGTTGAGCATGTGCACAAGTGACTGGTAAACCTTTCAAGGTGAAAAAGAAGACAGAGAAGAAAAGAATTAATCAATTCTGATGATTCACTTCAAGATAAGATGCTTTCAGTGAGTTTGATCCTTCTAAAAGCAAACTTTGCTATTTAAGGTTAGAAGAGAGTTGACAGTATTTGAATTTCTCTCACACAAAGACTTACATGTAACAATCTCTATCTTATTCAGTATTTAACCTTTTACTCTATAACATCAGTATGCATATTCTCCATACTACTCCCTCAACATTTCCAAGGGTTCTGACAGGGAGAATTTGTTCAACGATCAAGAACTTCTTTTGTTGGTGATCATCTTTATTCTCATGACCTTAATGTGTGATTCAAAGGGTGATGTTGTGAGGAGAAATAAGATGTTAGCCACTCTCAAGGGTTAAAAGGTAAATAAGCTGTACATACCATTTCCCATTTCAAACTAGTAGCTACTGAATTGCTTTGAAAGGCTCCAGTTTTTGAAAACAAGACAGGTAAAACAGAATCTGTGGCCGAGTGAAACTGCTTTTTGACTCCTTTTATCATTTCAAAACACAAGAATCCAAGTCCCTGACACAAGTCTGGCTGTGCTTCGAGTGTGCTGAAAATTATGTCAAAGAGTTTGCTACAGTCTTTGCTTTTCCTCATGAGGAATGAAAAACTCTCAGCTGCAAACTGCTGGATGTAGTATTTTTGTTCACCCACAAGTAGTGGACTGTACAAACTGAAAAATAAATTAAAATTATCCATAATAATTGTAGGTGTAGGGTCACTGATATGGATAACACACACACAGAATCAAAATGCAAAATGACAAGCATCATTAATTGCTGAATGCAAAATTATAATGGCAGGAGTAAAAATGACTAGTAAAAACTTGCTGGCTGTCCATTTGCAAATTTTAATCAGCTACACATATTGCTTTATATTTCTCCTCTCATCACTGTTTCTGTTAGCAAGCTAATAATCTGGCTGGTGATTTTCTTATATGATACTCTAACCCACATAGACATATAGGAATGAAACTGGAATTGTGTCATTGACTATAATTAATTGAAACCAGGTTCAAATTAAAGAACAGACAAAAGAATTTCCACAAACTAAGCCTAGACCAACTTAGATTCAAAACAGTGTTCCTGAATTCTATATAAGTCCACCAACAAGAATGGTTCATATATCCCAAAGGTTAACAGATTTTCAGGGGGCAGAAACCCACATTCACCTACCTGAAGATATGTTGGATGTCTTTCACCATATATCTCCAGAGAAACTTAAAAAGATAGCTCAGAGTTGCAAATATACACTCCAGAGTATGAGTATCTTGCCAAGAGCGGTTCAGTAGTGATATAAATATATTAAAGAAGCTACTGAAGTAAGGATAGAAGTCGCTTTGCAAGTCTCTAGCCAGCTGAACGACCAGATCCAACAGGGGCTCCAAAGCGAGACTTCCATTCACTTGTAGATTAGTTTTTAATCGCTCTATGACTTCGTTCTTGTGGTGAACAAGCTGGGCTAGACTTTGAACATATTTCCTGACTTCTGAGGAAAATTCTTGAAAGTGTAGAGTGCAATTCAGCTCCGTCCATTTGGCAAGTGCTTCACAAAAGAACGTGTCTTCATCCTCTGGTGTCTCGGTGCTTCTTTGGATTCTGTGAGTCACATCGATTTTAATAGCTGAAATGCGCTCGAAAAATCCTTTAAACCTGTGTGTATTTGTTTCTTTTCTCTTCACCATGATGTTTTATTTGTTTTAAGACCAAGAAACACCCTTTGAAACGAATAAACCTTTAAGAAATAGTCACCATGTGACTCCGACACTGAACGGCCGCCATGTTGACTTTTTTTCCGATAGCGACTGGATTCGAATTATCAAATTGGAACCCAGTCTTCATGTTTTTCTTTCTCTCTATTATACCGCTGGCCACTTTGCCGACAGCCGGCTTAGAGCAAAAAATATTACTGTGCTGAATTGATCTACCTCCTTCTAGGAGCTGAGGCGATAATGCTTAGCCTGATGATTCTGATGATAGTCGGGAACTAAGCTCTGGGCTTCTCCATAGTAATCGTAGGAGGTAAGTTTATGAAGAAACTGTTGTGCTGCGTCGGTGGGAGAATATAACAGAATAATTTAGTACCATCAATTGAGTTGATAACGTAAATAGGCCTCCGTAAACAGTTTAAAAGCTGACGTTTCGAGCGTTAGCTTTCGTCAGCTTTTAAACTCTTTTACAGTGGCCAATTTACGTTATCAACTCAGTTGATAATACTAAATTACCCTTTTAATCGTAGGTGTACCGAGGATCGTTCCGTCGGGTTCTCTTTTTTGAACTTTTGTGGTCGTTTTTTTCAAGTATTGCACATTTACAGTTCATGGAGCCCGAAAGAGACAGCACAATCCCAGTCCATAATCCTGATGGTATTCTAGGGTCGATTATAATCGGAATAATTTGAAATATGCCCCACGCACAATAGTAGGGGGGAGGGGGGGCGGGGTGAAGGGGAAGGGCGCATCATCGTTTCTGCAAACAAAATTCACAGAGATGCACTGAAAAGCCTAACGGACAGTCTTTGCATCGGGCTTCAGAGGTTTTGATAAAGGTTGAATTGGAAAATAAAGAAACATTTTTAGTAAAATGTACATAGTTACTTTCAGAATGGAATATTCCTCGATTAGCTGAAAGCTCTGATTGGAACACGAAAAGCCTAAAAGGAAGAGCAGGAAAGGAGAAAAACAAGGAATGGGTCTTTAAAAAGGGATGGGTGTGAGAGAAAGGCAAATCTGACCGTTATCTCATCGCGAGAAAAGCGCAAACGTGTGGCTACCGCTTTCTGTACTGAGATAAAAGGAGAAAGCTGCTCCACGTGAACTTTTCATAAAAGTTTTAATTCCACCGCAAGTCCAAAATGATCAGAAACCGACGAGTTTCTTTTCGTCCTAAGTTTTATAATTTCTTTCTTCACTACTGCGACATTGGAGCTGGTGAAAATTGCATCAAAGTTTCCGTGTTCAATGCTAGTTTCCATTCTGTCTTGAAATACAGACTGTAGGCCAACCACGCGCATGGTTTCTAGGAGCTTTTTATACTCCTCACTACTGTTACTAGTAGTGGCGTGATGGTTGTCAATATTGAAGTCTCCAGCCACAACGATGTGTGAGCCTGTACTGAGGTTTTGGACGGCCTCGGCGATTTCCTTCGCTTGTAAGACTCTGGCATCAACTCCGTGAGGATCTAAGTGGGTATTGATGACATAGAGACGCTGATGTTGGAATAAAAACTCGCCTATGACAAATCCCCTAAAGTCTGCCACTTGGGGAACCGAATAGTGACGGTAACGAGTTGAAAATGTGTTTATGAGCTGGATCCGACTAAATATGACAATACCACCACTTTGTCCGAAATAAGGCGCTGAAAAATCTGCAATTGATGTCCTGTAATGAAATCCACGCTTTTCCATTGCTTTAACCAGAAGTGATGCACATTTTGAGACAACAGCCACTCCTGTATTCAAGATGTAAGCCTCCTGAATGAGTGCAACGTCAAAATCTTTAATGCCTTCTGCAAGACCTTCAATCCTTTCGGAGACGTCCCACATCACATGAGGCTTCAAAAAGTCACACCATAAATTATGAGAAATGAGGCGCAGGGACTTTTCCTCGCTGAAAGATCTATTCTTACTTTTTGTAATATTGCCCTGGATAATCTGATGAAGCAAAAGCCGTGTTTCATCATCCAGTCCTCCAGTCATAATATTTGAAACAAACAAAAATGTCATGACAGCACAAACTAAGAAGGCACAGAAAGACTTGATATTTGACAGCCAAAGTGATTTCCTGCAATTGTAGAAAAGAAAAAAAAAACTCACCATCAATCCACGATTGGAACAACGTTACGACAACACCAATTACTGGAACCAAGTTGAGGTATATTGGGTCTTTTTTCTTTAACAAGCTAAATTTCCTTCAAATTGAGGGAATCCTTATAATGTTATTTGGGCAAGGGTGGGGTATGATCGAAAATTTGCTTATAATAGTTGACTAGCTCCCAAGGTCTCTCTCGCCATGGGAACGAGATTGACTCGTAAACAAGGCAACTATTAATCTCTCCGTAAGTACATCGTGATACCTTAGGCGAGACCTAAAAGTCTAAGCGAGAAAGTTTCGGTGAAAATTTCGCTATACAAAGATCTAAATAAGAAGCAAGTACAATTGACTGATTTAAATTTCGATATTGACAACCGGTATTCGAATGACTGGTGGAATACACACAGCAAATTTCCAAGCACCACGTAGCTAGTGCTAAATATATCTAAAAACAAAATATATGCCAGTTGTGAAAAGCTACAAACCTTCGTTTGCCGAAAGAATCTTTAGTGGACCAAACCGTGAACCGACTAGCTACGTTCATTAATTTAAGTGTATTTTGTTGTTGTTATGTTGGGTTATATATGTTTATCTCATTAATTCATTTAACATTGTAAAACTGAAGTTTCGTGCGTCACCGGTCACAAACGTATATCAATTTACTTCTAGTCCCGTCTTGCTTTGGGAAAAAAATAAGCAGATTATTGAGATCGTATGATAACACAGCTAAAATTACAAATAATGTTCATACATAATTTAAATCACCGATGAAGCGATGCCAAGTCAGAAGTTGAGGAGATTAAGTTAAAGTTTTCGTGTGAGTATATGGGGAACGAATTTTGATTCAGCTACATAGTCCTTACAAGGCTGAATTGTCTAATGCCTGTAAATTTACCGTTGGCGAAAGATTTTCCAATAATAATAGTGTTTGTGAACGTCGGACAATACCGGCTTGGTGCTTGAATATTATAAACACAGATTTACCGCACTGCTTAAAATGAGATTCAAGACACTCAATTCGACCGTCTAAACGGAAAATGAAAGAACCAGCCGAACTCGAGAAATGCCTTAATAGAATGCCTACACTGCAGTGAAAATTTAGATCTAATGAAATATACCATGGCGGAAAATTACCATAAAGATTTACCGTACTTACTGCGATTTCATTCAGTCCCTTAAGATTTAAAGATCTTTGTTACGAGTAAAGAAGGTTATAGTTCGATGTGAGGTTCTCTGTGAAAGCAAGTAGAAGTGCTTTTAAATTTAAAAATGCCAGTAACATCGCCAAAGGCCAGAAGATCCAAGAAACAGGGAAACAGTGGCACGATTTTCCGAAATGAATGTTGACATGGACATTCAGCGGTCATGAATATGGCGTTATTTTGAGTGGCGAGTCAATCACTGCTTTGTTATTTGCCGATAGAACAAAGGACGACGTGTGAGGGCGCAATATAGCATCACATTATTTTAATGATTGTGTCGGTTCTTAAAGAAATAGCCCTCTTAGAGGTCATGTAGTTACTATGTTCATAGTTGAAGTTTTTGTTTGTTTGTTTGTTTTTTTTTTTTAATAAAGATTAGGAAATGGTTTTGGCATAAAATGTCTTGAATGTTTGTTTGTGTTGGCAGGTGTTACTTTGAAAGTCGAATTCTGTTTGAGTTCTGTTTGGATGTACATGTCAGGCGGGGAAATCGGCTGCTTGGGACAAAGCAGGTTTCAAAAATTTTGATTTTACTGGTCAAATCTGCATTATTCTCAAGCGTGACATATCAATCACTCGAAATGCGTTACCTTCCTTTCCATGGAAGTTCTGCTCATGATCATGATGATTTCTGAATTTTCCAACATCTGAGATGTTCATTTTTTTCTTCCAAGTTTTTACCGCTTTCAAGGTTATAAAATTCGAGGACTGATCCGTTCTGAAAAACGCTCGGCACCTTTTAGTGTGAGCTTACCACGAAAGGCTCATGTGTATGTCTATCCGTGAGAGGAGCGTACAAGCAGATATGGCAATTTTCTCTACCAAGCTTTCTAAACAAAAGACAATATTCTGCTCTTCTCAGGGGATCAGTAACACTGAGAACACCAGGGACCATGATGCAGAGTTGGCGACCAAATAAGAAGAAAAGCAATGAAAGGCTACCGAGAGAAACCAACTCATTTTTAAATATGTGCCCAAGTGACGAAAAAAATCTAACTGCGTGTTAAAATTCTGACTGCTGTTATAAGATTCCACAGCCGAACCAGGAGCGAAGTAGCTCACAAGGCAATGACGAAAACGAGGCGTAACGAAAAGAAAGGTCAAATCCGTAAAACTTCAAAAGATGATAAATCAGCTGCTTAATATGGGTACAATTAGCCAAATGGCAGCCCAACGGAATTGTGAAATTCAACTTTATGAAAAGAATTAAAAAATTGCTTACGCGGCGCCAGAAAATATTTCCATATCCGACTAACGTGGGTTGTAGCGTAAACGAAGACCCCCGAAAACAAAGACCCAAGACACAAACACAAAGACCTACGACCCGAAAACGAAGACTCCTTTATCTTTATTTGACATGATCTTGTTGCGGTTTCTCGCCGGAGATTAAATCTTTCTAAGAGCTACGAAGTATGCAATCAAACACCAGTTTTTATAAAAAGATTCCGAACTGCGAAGACCTAAAATGAAGACCATTAAGAACCGTGTTTATCTATTGGATTATTCCTAATGCTCACTTTACCTTTCCATTCAGCACAAGTTCGTTCAAATGCTAAATTGACGGCTTCTCAATCGATTCACTGACTTCAAAGGGCGCTATAATTAGTTTCTCCTTCTTCTCCTTCTGCCAAAGGCCAAATTCTTTGGTGATATACTAATTTGTAATTTCGCTTTTTTTTTTTTTTTTTTAAACTAAACTGGTGAATGATCACGTTGCGAGCAGAGGAGTTGCCAAGCTTTTGACTGTTTTTCATCGGTGAAGCCATAGAGCCTGACGCTCACTTCCCTTATCAAAATCATGAAAGGGTCTTCGTTTTCGGGTTTTAGGTTCGTTTGTAAGGTCTGCAGGGTGTATTCTGATCAAGGATGGGGCTAAAAGAAGATAAAACAAGCCATTTTAGCCTACGGCATGCGCCGACAGAAGCCATTTTTTAATTACTTTGATAACTCTATGTACTCAGGCAAAAATTTCGCCCTTTGTATCACCGCAAGATATTTTAGCAGAAGACAATAGAATGACTTTGGGGACTGAGGCAAAGTGAATAGTGGAGGCTCTGAAACAACATGGACATGAATGCATTAAAAATTAGTTGATTTTTATCAGAAATCTACTAGCGACTGACGAAAGAATTTTCTTTTGCTAGTTTATTAAACTACACTGCAATCAATAAATAATAGTTTGAAAAATATATAGACTACATAAGTATTAATTTGGGTTTTTCTCTTGCTGGTAATTTGTAGTATCAATTCTGGAGTCTTAAGAATCATATCATAAAACTTAACCTGACACTTCTTACTAACCC